GAGTCATTATGAAAGAGATGTGGACACCATGATGAAGCAGGAGCAGGAGTCATCTGAGAACGTCCAGAATGACAGCGTGAGTGCCAGTGTCCTTTGTAGGTTGTTTGACCAGGAGATCACAATGTGTGAAATACTGAAAGTTTTTTTTTAATGATAGATCCTGTACCAGACAGTGATGGGCCTGAAGAAGGACCTTTCAGGCGTGCAAACGGTAAGATTTTTATTCAGTTTTTGTTCAGTAACAATTTTTTTTTGCTTTTAGATAACAGTGATAACTTTACTAGTATGTAAAGTACCTGGACACTCCTCCTAATCATTGAGTTCAGGTGTTTGAGCCACACTTATTGCTGACAGGTGTATAAAATCAAGCATATAACTTCATACGTGGCTCTGTCATAGGATCCCACCTCTGCCACAAGTCAGTTTGTAAACATTTTGCGCTTCTAGATCTGTCCCAGTCAACTGTAAGTGCTATTATTGTGTAATGGAAGCATCTAGGCTCCACAGATCAGTAGACCAACTCAAACTCGTAGAACGGGGCCACTCAAAAATCCTCTGTTGTAACTCTCACCTCAATAATTGCCTCTGGAAGCAACATCAGAACGAGAATCGTGCGTATTTATGAAAAAGTTTCCATGGCAGAGCAGCTGTGCACAAGCAGCTGGAGTGGTGTAAAGCACACTGACACTGGAGTGGTGGAAACACTTCACCATCTGGCAGTGTGATGGGCGATTCTCGGTTTGGCAGATGCCAGGAGAACGCTACCTACCAGAATGCGTAGTGCCAAAAAAAATTGGTGGAGGGGGGTTAATGGTCCGGGGCTGTTTGTCAGGGTTTGGGCCCCTAAGTTCAAGAGTTAATTAATATTAATGCAGAGACATTTTAGACCAAAATATGTTCCCTGCTTTGTGGCCACTGTTTGGAGAAGGCCCTTTGCTGTTCCAGCATTACAGTGCAGCTGTGCACAAACCGAGCTTCATAAAGACATGATTTGACAAGTTTAGTGTGGACATAGGTGACATGGTCTACACAGAGGCCTGACCTCAACCCCACTGACCACCTTTAAGATGAACTGGATTATTGATTGCAAAATGAGTGCCTGACCTCAAAATCTGACCTAAAAAAAAAAAGTTCCTCTTGTCCAAAATCAGTGCCTGACCTCACAAATGCACTTTTGACTGAATGGGCACAAATTCCCACAGACCAGAATCTTGCGGAAAGCCTTTTCAGAAGATTAGAGGTTGTCTTAGCCCCAAAGCCGGGGCAACGCCATATGAATGCTAATGGTTTTGGAATGATCTGTCCAATAAACTCATATAGATGTGTAGGTTGTCCACATACTTTTGGCCATAAAGTGTCAAACGGGCCCTAGAATGATGCAAGCAAACGTGTTGCCTTTTGGTGGAATTCATTGTTTTGAATGATAAATATACATTTCATTTCGTTTTGTGAGCGTCAGATTTGGGCCCTTTTTTCGCATATTTGCACACATCAAAAGATCAATACATAAAATATTGTCAGCAACCCAGACAGTCCACTTCCATTTTATGGAGTTAGTTTTGTGCCAAAATGTTTGAAAGAAGATCCTGATGTTTGAGAGAGGAATGTTCCAGTTTCAGAGGACAGCGGTGCTCTGATCACGCAGCTACTGAACTTCTCAGCACGAAGTGCGCAGATAAACACTTTCGGATTTGCTCAACAAAACACTCCGGTTTTCACTCAAAACTGGAAAACTTGCTCAATCGCGCTCTTCACTTTCAAAACTCGCGCAAATCATTTCTGCTCTCAGCTCCGCAGCGCACGCTCAACTTTCACATCTGCTCGCTGTAAAATGTCTGAACGTTTGTGCCAAAACTGCAGCCAATCAGAGCTGCCGATGGGCGGTTCCTGTCAGCGCACCAATCATGGCATCTTTTCTTAAGCAGCTTTATGCCAGTTGGTCGGGGTGCGTTTGGGGCTGTGGTGTTGCGTCGGCTAGTGTGCTTGTAGTCTCGATATTAGCTAGATGGTTTCTGCCTTTCTAGAAGCAAATTAATAGAACTGATTTATCAGTAATGCTCTGTCATAAATAATAACGAATTAATATAACTAACATTGGTAGCTCGGCCATTTGTTTCCTACCAGAGACTTAACGGTAGCTAACTTCAAATAGCTTAACATTAATCAGCTAAGCTGACGTTGGCAGGGTTTCTTTGACTGTAGCTAACAGTGTCTTACAGTGTTCTACTGAAAAAAGTCTTAACTCCATCAACAGTAAGTTGGGTTGAAGCCAAAACGTCAGTGTGTTTTGATAACCTAAACTTAGTGTCCAGGATATTAACTGCATTAACGCTGTGAAATGCTGACAACAGATGTCAGTCGATTAGTTAAGTCTGTTAACTGAGTTTCAGAGTCATCTGGTTTTTATGTTTGCGTTTTAGAGTATACTGCTTATTCAAAGGGATTGGTGGAAATCCAGAGATGGTAGCAAAGAGCTGAGAATAATAAGAAATATCGCTTATATTTATAGTTTGTGTGCTTGATATTTTTAATCAATGATTTACAGTAAGTTAACTGATATGTGAACACCAAATAGAGGAAAAAATATGTATGGCCCTTAAAAAATAGTATTATGTCTAGTAAACAAAATAGGATGAATTATATTACTTCTGTGCTCACTGAAAAGTTTTTTTGTCCATATAAAACTGCACGGCATCAGTATTATTTTTTGATGACGCCATTATACAAGTTAAACATACAGGATTAACAAGATGAGCCTATGAAGACAAGCGCTATAGGAGAGTTTTTTCAGTAGAACACTGTTAGACACTGTTACCTACAGTGAAAGAAACCCTGCCAACGTCAGCTTAGTTGATTAATGTTAAGCTATTTAAGTTAGCTACCGTTAAGTCTCTGGTAGGAAACAAATGGCCGAGCTACCAATGTTAGTCAGATTAATGCGTTATTATTTATGACAGCATTACTGATAAATCAGTTCTATTAATTTGCTTCTAGAAAGCCAGAAACCATCTAGCTAATATCGAGGCTACAAGCACACTAGCTGACTCAATACCACAGCCCCAAACGTACCTTGACCAATTGGCATAAAGCTGCTTAAGAAAAGATGCCATGATTGGTGCGCTGACAGGAACCGCCCCTCGGCAGCTCTGATTGGCTGGAGTTTTGGCACAAACATTCAGACATTTTACAGCGAGCAGATGTGAAAGTTGAGCGCGCGCTGCGGAGCTGAGAGCAGAAATGATTTGCGCGAGTTTTGAAAGTGAAGAGCGCGATTGAGCAAGTTTTCCAGTTTTTAGTGAAAACTGGAGTGTTTTGCACGTTCGAATTCTGAGAGGGAAATGAATTGTTGTGCAGATTTTCAAGTTTTGAGTGAAACCAGAGTGTTTTGTCGAGCAAATCCGAAAGTGTTTATCTGTGTGCTGACAAGTGTGTTCAAGTTCATTATCTGCGCGCTCAGAGCACCGCTGTCCTCTCAAACCGGAACATTCCTCTCTCAAACATCAGGATCTTCTCTCAAACATTTTGGCACAAAATTAATTCCATACCATTTAGTTTGCATCTGAAATTGTAGAGTACAAACTGTCGTAACTGTTTTGAGCTTACTGACCATCTCTTACATCAGCCCCAAGTGTCTTAGAGCAGGAAAATACCAAATTATGCAGTGCAAGGGTGCTGCAGGACCCAAATAGGTAGGCAGTTTGCCCACATGACGACTCCACGGAGATAAAGGGCTGAAAGAGGAAATGGTCAGTTGTATGATCTGTGAAAGAGAGGCAGAGAGACGCCAGCTGCTGGTGTTTGTTGGTCTTATTGACCTCCTCCACTGTATCGCAGGTTCCCTCCTTGCTGGAGGGCTGTGCTGAAGATGGGAGCTCCAGCAGTGATGAAGATGAGGAGGAGGAGGAGGAGGAGGAGGACTCTGAAGCAGAGGACAGACAAGAAAGAGACCAGGACAAGACTCAACCACTTGACAAAAAGGTATATGGAAGTGAAATGAAGGAGGTTTCAGTGCAAACAAGGAGACACTAAAGCAGTAGTTTGGCCAAAAATGAAATTTAGCCACACAGCATGCAGTTGTATGCAAACGTCTGAAAACCTCCTTTACATTAATGCATTTTTTGCAGGATTTCTGTTTGTTGAGTTTGACATATTGGGATAAAATAAAGCCTACAATATAAAGTGAGCCATTACTCGTGTGCAGGCCACATACGTTTGTATTTTTTTTTTTTCGGTATGTTAAATTCAGCAAATAAGCAGTAAATGTGCATTAAAATGGGCAGAACTGTTCTCTGTAGAGGACGTGTTCACTTATTTTCAAGCTTAATGGTTAATGTAATTAATAATTAATAGTTAAACCTGACAAACTAGCAAACTAAGTGTATTAATTCCTTTTTTCCTCTTCAGGAAAGAAAGAAATTGGTAAAAGAAGCTCAGAGAGAGAAACGGAAAAGCAAAGTGCCCAAGCATGTGAAGAAGCGCAAAGAGAAAGTTGCCAAGATGAAGAAAGGAAGATGAGGAAATAGGTGGACACAGCTCTATCACCCAAAAATGAGGACGCTCATGAATGACAGACGGGACACAGTCACAATTTTCAACGAGGGCACTGAATCGATAAGGGAATCGATCAGAGTGGCACAATCAATGAGATTATCAAGCTGGCTGCATATGAGGACCGGACTAAACAGGCGCAAAACCATAACCCTGCAGATAGAACCAGCCGCCCTGCCAAACCTACCACATGTCTGAGATTTTCATACATTAAAATAAGCTGAAATTGGCAAAGGAAGTTTTCTAGCATCGTAACATTCTTTAATGTAATGTGTACATGACAGTTCACAAATACTGTATATTCATACATTTTAACAAAAACGTGCAACAGAAACGTTTCACTTTGCATCATTTAATATGTTGGACACAAAAGCTTATTTAAAAGCACATACACACAAAATTAAATCAATCAGGAAACCAAGACAGAACATGTGCTGTTGTGTTTTTAAATATAATCTGGGATTTGCAGGAGTTTGTCTTTTTTTTTTTTAACCTCATTTATTTGTCTGTGAAAAAGGCTCAACCCATGTATTTACAATTCAGCTTAAATTAGAATTCTCATAGGTACAAAATACAGGGTATACAAGGTACAAAACTATTATCATTACACGACATGCGCTAATATGTTACTGTATGAATTAGGTACGATGTAACAAAACAAGAGACGCGTCTTATAAATACTGAAAGACTTGACAATCTGTACTACCAAAATAGAGGCCTACCTCTGTCTATTTACAAGTGCTTGATCCCCGTACTGACTGCAGTGAAGTGGTTTAATTTGAGCCTCGGCAGGGGTGAGACTCGGGCGTTTGGAAGAGGAGAGCTAGCGAATGCCCTCTACGTAGTTGGCGGGCAGCATGCCAGAGCGGCCGGTCCGCTGCACTGTCCCGTACAGCCAGCCTTCGTCGATGGGCTGCACGTTGTGGATAACGTCGCCATCTCTGAACGACACCTCGTCGCAGTCCTGAGCATTGTAGTCATACAAAGCCCTGTAAACACTCTGAAAGGGGCACAAGTGTTAATAGTGTATTTTTGCCCAAAAACCTCATTTCTACAGATGTCCTCTTTCTCCAACTGAACAAATGTAAAAGGTTAACATGGCTAACATGTACATCGATCAGGCATAGCATTATGACCACCTCCTTGTTTCTGTGCTCATTGTCCATTTTATCAGCTCCACTTACTATATAGGTGCACTTTGTAGTTCTACAGTTACAGACTGTAGTCCATCTGTTTCTCTGCATATTTTGTTAGCCCCCTTTTACCCTGTTCTTCAGTGCTCAGGACCCTCATGGACCCTCACAGAGCAGGTACTATTTGGATGATGGATCATTCTCAGCACTGCAGTAACCCTGACGTGGTGGTGGTGTGTTAGTGTGTGTTGTGCTGGTCTGAGTGGATCAGACACAGCAGTGCTGCTGGAGTTTTTAAACACTGTGTCCACTCTCTGTCCACTCTATTAGACACGTCTACCTTGTAGATGTAAAGTCAGAGACGATAGCTCATCTGCTGCTGCACAGTTTGTGTTGGTCATCCTCTAGTCCTTCATCAGTGGTCACAAGATGCTGCCCACAGGACGCTGTTGGCTGGATATTTTTGGTTGGTGGACTATTCTCAGTCCAGCAGTGACACTGAGGGGTTTGAAAACTCCAGCAGCACTGTTGTGTCTGATCCACTCAGATCAGCACAACACACACTAACACACCACCACCACGTCAGTGTTACTGCAGTGCTGAGAATGATCCACCACCCAAATAGTACCTGCTCTGTGAGGGTCCATGGGGGTCCTGACCACTGAAGAACAGGGTAAAAGCGGGCTAACAAAAGATGCAGAGAAACAGATGGACTACAGTCTGTAACTGTAGAACTACAAAGTGGAGCTGATAAAATGGACAATGAGCGTAGAAACAAGGAGGTGGTCATAATGTTATGCCTGATCAGTGTATATGCCCAGTGGTCTCTTCCAAAGGTGTTTCGTGGACTGCCTTCTGGGGAAAGCACTGGCTGTGTCCTAATAGCTAAATAGTTTTCTATCTGCTCTCCTTGATTTTATTTGATCTGGTGGCCTTGGGGATCCACATGTTAGTCAGCTCTGCCAAGGACTAAGGGCTACAGATGAGACAAAACCAAGGAAGGCAGATAAGAAAGGAAGTTTGCAGTTTGCAGCCAATATCAACAAATATAACTAGGCATCAGGACATATCCCATCAGAGTAAAGTGGCAGGGAGGGGTGAGGCGTATGTTGCGCATGCACCTGTGCTTAAATGACCTTTATAAATCAATTCTAAACTCTATAGGGCTCGTGATTTTTTGGGGAATTTATTTTGTTGGAGGGCAGAGTGGCAGGTATTTAAAAAGTTCATTTATCTGAGCCAAACCACTGTGTGTAGTTTATAATTAGAGCTCAGTAACATTTTTAACATGCACAATAACTTAAATTGAACTGACCTTAGAATTAACAATTGTGCTTAACTTGCAAATACTTGTATTGTTACACCCCAAATGCATGAAAGGGTTCACATGGTTCAAACGTTAACATACTGAATTCTCTGCAGTGTTACACCCCTGTACCCCACCAGTTAGCATGGTGCCAACTGCTCACATTAAGTGCAAAAATATGCACAAAATTCAAGATCCAGGCTTTAAATGTCTGCTACTACTGGTACTAAAACTTGCGGTAACACTTTCTATGAATGTCACCTTTGTAAGCATCTATAAACACATTCATAACATGATATAATGCATTCATAAGACATTATAAACATAGCTATAAATATTTATAAAAATGTATTATACGTTATAGACATGTTTATTATGCATTATGAATTGTTAACATAATACATTATAAGTACTGATCATAACAAATTATAAGAGCTCATAAGTCGTATTTGTCCGCTCTAAGTAAAGTGAAAGCGTACTGTACTAAAGCCTCCTCCAGTGTTAAGAGTGAGGCTTCAAGTTGAAGTATTTACTGAAGGATTTACTGAAACACTAAAACATTCACAATAAAGCACATTACAGGCTTCAAATGTCAGAGTTTAAACTAGTGCTGCCATCAGTGTTTTACCCAATGTGGGAAAGTCAATGTACACCACCGTTAGCTTGGTATTTGTCTTTACTTTGCACTCTCCAAGCTGGGACTGACTTCTTTGGCACTGACATTATAACATGTTATTAACACTATTTATAATGCATTATATTAACAATTCATAATGTATAATAAACATGGCTATAAGGTGTAATCCAGGGTAATTCATTTTTATAAATATTTATAACCATGTTTATAATGCCTTATGAATACATTATAACATGTTATAAATGTGTTTATAGATGCTTACATGCGACATTCATAGAAAGTGTTACCAAACTTGCTTTATGACATACTTTTTTTCTTCAATGTTATACATAACAGCATGTCATACAGTGTCAGAAACCACACGAGCAAGTCAATCTGAGAGTACTTAAAAGGGAATTCTACTGATTCTTCAAAATATTTGTTTCAATTCTTTCATTAAGATATAAACTCATTCCTTACAAACTCGCAGAGTCAGAACTATTCACAGTGGCGGTGATGGGAACCAGACGTCTGAAGTGTTTAATTCCTCTAAATTCTCCCTCACAGAAAATTATTACATGAAATAGTTGCAAATATGTTGCCTGATGCTTGAGGCAGTAGGACAGAAGCTTTTGGCCTAAAACAGAAATATTTATTGATACATGCAGGTCAGTGAGGAATGTACAAGGTGCAGTATGGCAAAATAGTACCTGAAGAAAACTTGATTCTTTGGATTTACCACTATTTTGCCATCATCAACATTACATATAAAAACTCAAAAGTCACATGTAGGTTCACTGGTGGGTTTGGTTAGTAAATAAAATGGCTATATTGTCTGTGCCAAGCCTACAATGTAATGGTCCAGACTTGCATTTAGAGAATATTTGATCTCACATTACACACAAACTAGCTTGGCAATGGTTCAACTGTTTGGCACCATCAGTGCTGAGTGGAGAAATACTGACTGTTCTTTGTATAAAAGGCTTCCTACAAGTTTTTCCACAAGACTTCAACATTTAAAGAAATCAGAGGGAAAGCTTTCTTTATAACTTACTGACTAATCATTTGTTGTTAAGACCATTAAAAGCTTAATGTTTTGCCATTTTGGGGTCTTTTGCAATGAATCATTTCACATGAAACCACTCTGAAAGTGACTGTTTACATCCATCCATCCATCCATCATCTAAACCGCTTATCCTTCTGGGTCACTGGAGCCTATCCCAGCTGTCATTGGGCAGAAGGCAGGATACACCCTGGACAGGTCGCCAGTCCATCGCAGGGCAGACAGACATACACATTCACACCTAGGGGCAATTTAGCATGTCCAATTTGCCTGACTGCATGTTTTTGGACTGTGGGAGGAAACCCACGCAGACACGAGGAGAACATGCAAACTCCACACAGAAACAACCCTGGTCACCCGGCCGGGAATTGAACCCAGGCCCTTCTTACTGTGAGGCAACAGCGCTACCCACTGCGCCACCATGCCACCCTGACTGTTTACATCTTGACTGAATTCTGTTTAACTTTTGGAAAGTCAATGGAATTTCCCTTTAATAACTTGCCATGCAAATATGACAATTTAGATAAGCAGTTTGCTTGTCCAATATTTGTTATTAATACATTAGCACAAATAAAGAGGCAAACTTTGGACATAAATCTTTAGGATTAACTATCACTTTGCGTTACTAAGAAAATAGGCTTTCTACATTGTTCAGTGCCACTGAAAGTCTGCTTCATGCTTCTTCTCTAAGTCCCAAACTGCACAGTTTCCTGTACATGAGTCATCATTTGCGGATTACCAAGTCCCTGAGCTGAATCAGGTAGGAAAACATGACACTGTACAGTTGCAGGTGGATTATAGGGCTAGAAACATGGAAATTAAAATAAAAATAAATAAAAAAAGATCAGTTGGACGAAGGCTCACCATGGTTGCTGGATGTGAGCGCAGCTGCATGGACCTCAGGGAGTGCATGCTGGTCTGATGCATGTAGCTGTGTCCCTGGCTATGTCCACTCGGGTAGTACGCCCCAGGAAGAACAGGCGCTGCACAGACACAGACAGAAATAGGACAATGGAAAATTTATGTATATTGTATACTGCATTATATTGAGTATAGTGCAGTTTTGGAATTACATGAGTTATTGGTACTTCTCATACTTTCCACATCAGAAGTTTGGGAAATTTTTGATCCAGAAATTACTACAAATTTGCTCGTGAGTGGAAGCACTTGACTTTTTGAAGGAGCTAAGCTTACCCACAATGACGCCTGGCCTCCGATCCATTTCCATGATGTACTGATGAACACCCTGTTGCGCTGCGCTGGTCCCCATTGTCTGGTGGTTGGGTCTCCCCTGCGCCCGCACCAGATAAGCCCCTCGCATGTCCTGAGTGACCCCATGCAACCCTGGAACCTCAAAATCCTTATGATATTTAACCTGTGAGGAGAAGGATATGTGTATCTTCCTTTAAAATGGAAAATACCGTTAAACCACTCAAACTGTAATTCCCTATCTTCATAACTGCTTAACCTACATATTTGTATCATAATAGCTATTCATAATTCATAATAGTTGTTCCAGAATAATAAGCCTGCAGTTTAAGGAGTTAACTACTTAAACTTAACTTAAAATGTCACAACATTGCGACAACTGTATGCTACGAACTTCATATTCAGGCCTTACGTTGCTGATCTGATCCTGGGCTTTCTTTAGTCTCTGCACCTCTGGTGTGTCCACGAGATATCTGAGACCGCGGCCCTTACTCTCCTCAAAATCCTTCCTGTACTTCACCTACGGGTCAGAAGAACCAGAAATCAGTGTCACAATAAAAGACTGGATTCCTGTAACAGGAACTGCACTCTGAATTAGTGGCATGAGTTTGAAGAATCATTGTTTGGATTTTTATTTTTGATTAAATAGATCATAGCATTATGTGTCATTATTATAATAATGTAATGTATTTCTCCTGTACAAACAGTACTGTATTTAAAGGACAAAATATTTCTTTTTTTTAGCACCAGGAAAAAAGCAGAAAACATACATTTGACAGGAAATTACACGGAAGTCTCAACAGCTAAGTATTATATATATATATATATATATATATATATATACACATTCAGTGATGTTAAGAACTGGATTCTGGGTGGACAGTCCATTGGGCCTCATTCACCAGCATCTTCGTAAATTTGTTCTTAAATGTGTTCTTGAGAAAGGTCCTAAGAAAAAGTCTAAGTCAGATTCATGACGTGTTCATAAACTGCATCATAAATTGTTCACACACTTTGTGCTCTTGAGCGTGTGTAGATTCTTTTCTTACCTAAGAACAAATCCCAAATAAAAAACATTGGTGAACGTCAGAATCTTCGTGAAAACTGTGTAAGTGGGTTTTTCAGAAAACATTTCTTCTTAAGAACAGTTGGTGAATGAGACCCAATGCTCTTTTTTGCCTGTTTCCTTTTCGCAGTAAGAGTTTCTCGACAGCTACACATCCTTTCAGACCCATATCGTTGGCTCGCCTTTTCACAGTGGAAGGATGAACAGAAGAGTGAAGCTTAATTTTCTCCTCTCTCACTCAAAGTGAATCTGAATGTTTATCAGATGGGGCAGTTTTGGTGTCTACCAGGTCTTGCAGAAGCTGCAAGGAGTCCCATTTTCTCTTAATTTTCTTTTAATAATTTTTAAAAGACTCCAGTTTTTTACCTTTGTAACAAGCTCAAGCGCCTTGGTTCATGTCGTGCCTCAGTATCTTGGGTTTGTACAGCATGACTGAACTTCCACAGGGTCAGTCTAAGACTCTGAAAATTTGTTTTATGAGAAGAGCTCTTGTCTTCTCTTATTTTGCAGTTGTTTCCTTCTTGCTGGATTACATTTTTGCCCAGTGTTTTTCTGATAAAGGTGTCAGGAACTCTGATCATCGCCTAAGTGGTGGAAGCCTGGCCTGATGGATTCTGCCTCTAGAAGCTGCTTGCAGCCAACTTTACAGGTTTAGCCAAATGTGTGCTGGTCAAAGGTGGACAATAAAAAACTGAAAGAACTGACCAGTAGAAGCAGAATCAGATCTTCAAAAGATACAGATAAAGAAGGGAACAAATAAGGAATTGTACAAATAAATGTCTTTGTTGGTAGTGTCCGGCATTTCTGTGATGCGTTTGCCTGAAAGCCTGGACAAGAACCTGAACAACAAGGGCTTGGCACCGTGTCCTGGTTTGCCAGGTGGAGAATCGAGGGGGATCTGCCAGCACACCACCGAGCGGACAGCTGCCTTGCTTTTCTCCATGCTGACCTCAAAGTGTCACACCCAGCCTCACACTGGCAACCAAAGCGCTACTCGGATGAGCAAAGGCTTTTTCTCTCTGATTGTTTTCCCTCTTCCCTTGATCTCCTGCCTTCGATTGTTGTTTTATAACACGGTCTACAACAAGTACACATGGCTTTCAAGCTGCAAGCTAGGAATAGTCAGGCCATACAATTCTCCCCTTTTCCAAACTGCAGTGGAATAGCTGAGACAAGTTGTGTCTGAAGTTTGTTTCTTTAGTTTTGCACCAATATCATACAGACTTAGGTGCTTTTTGACACTGTATGACTTACTTTTATCTATAAAAATGGACAAATGTATAGCACATAGGTAAAAACACAGTAGAAGCGTTGACACCCCAGGGAACCTCAAACTGTGTTTTCTTTCCATTTGCGTTAATCTTGCTCTTGGGTGCCCAATGAATAACGTTCCAGTGCCCAATAATTAGCTAATATATTTAACCAAAATTCTCCCCTTTCCATGTAATCTGGGCGGTCCTAATCTTGGGTAATGCTTATGTAAACATTACGCTCATCCAGTCATAAGACTGACATGGCTTGTCCTGCCCACATTGCGTTTAACAAAAAGCATCTCCTAAGGTCTCTTTTCAAGTCAGAGAAACTCTGCGCCAAAGCTAACAACCAAGCGAAAGCTAACCTAGAAAGAATAACTGAGCTATTAAGCTAGCTCATTTGCCAGCATCCATTCAGCCATGCAGGATTGCGCATCCATCAGTAAATTTCCTTCTTTGAGACATCGGCACACAAACCCTGGATGCTGTTAGTGAGCCATGGATACAGGGGAGCAGTCTAAAACACAACCTGCATATGTAGAGCCCATTTCACTCATGTCTCTCATTTCTATTGTGTTCATTTTGACATCCATGGCTTAAGAATGTCAATCACACGTGCTCATTAGAATACTGGGACCACCCCCTCAGTTCTCAGACGGGTCTGATGAGCAGTTTTTAAGCACTGTTTCATTATAATTCTCACTTGTTTTTCATTCAATCAAACTTTGCTGGATGTTTAATAAAACACTCAGTTATAGTATCATTAATTTCCTGGGACTTCACATGAATTTAGTGCATACATTTATTTTTATATATTAAAGAATGTCATACAGCATCATAAACCAAACATGTTTTTTTCTGATTGACTGCATATGAGGTATAAGGGCAATTTAATAAAGTTCATTTTTGCCAAACTAATTCTTTAACACTGACAGAATATTCTCTACAGAGAACAATTAAGGCGGGGGGGGGGCGCTGATGACCCTACCTGACTCTGCAGCTCACTCTGCTGTCTCAGTCGCAGGTTCTCGGGGGTATCAGCCACAATGGTAAACGTCTGTTTCGGGTAGTGCCTGGAGGGGAAAGAAAAGCTGTTTATGGAGAGCATTAAAATAGCCTACTTAAAAAAAGTTCAAAGAGACTGAGCTATTTGGCAGAAACACATAAATTATGCTTTCTGTGCAGCAAACTGGCATATCATCAGCAGCTCTTAAGTGCTGTATCCCCAGAGATGAAAGGATGTTCTGTATTTCACTAAGCAACCAATTTGGAGAAATATGTTCATGCAGACCATTAGACCATCCCCTCCCCAACTCCCATATCACCACAAATGCTATTTTTAAGTGAAGCTGATGTTGTACGTACGAATTACAGTAGGGCTTCTTCTCGTATCCTTTGTAGTTGTTCATGTTGAGGGTCATTTTGCACACCTCACAGTGGAAGCATGCTTTGTGCCAGTACTGAGAGATAAACAAATAACAAATAAACAAAAAACATGCATATAAACCACAGACAATTTTAAGGCATAAAGATGCAGGCATTACAAGACAGTTAGCAGTCAGTATCCCATTGAAGGAAACCTATGAAATGAAACTAGAACAGTGCAATGAACAGAGTAAGAATAGAAGGAAATACCTTGTCCAGACAGTTCACCTTCTCTGTAGCATAGACTATTTTGCCACAGCGTGCACAATGAGGGTTCATTGTCGAGCATTAGATCCGGATCGCTGCTGGCTGGAGGCACACAAACCTGCTCTGGGTTTAGTGCGCTTCAACGCTGCCTTGTTTTCTGTAGCAATGGATTGAAGTTGCGTGGATGCTCGGCTTATGGGGGCGTTTGCTGACTCTTTGGAAGGCGCTGCGAATGAGGACGAGCTTGATGTGAATCCGTGCCAAGCCATTCCCCGCCGAGCGCACAGGAATGGAGCACAAACACCCTGCAGAATGCAAACAACTGAACTGTTATTGGGCAAACTGCTAGCATTAAAGGAATACTTTAAAAAAAAGTATCTCCAGGAGTTGTGAGGCTAATCTACTGTCTTAAAAAAGATGGTTCTTCAAACATTCTTTAGTAAACTCAAAGAACCAACTGCAAGCTTAAATGGTTCTTTGCATAGTGAAATTGGTCTTCAGACTGACAGAGAATGTGCTGTATATGGTTCTATATAGAATCTTTTTGAAAAGGGTACAATATAGCACTAAAAATGGGTTCTGCTATTGTTATAATGTCAAGCGTGTAACACTAAAAGAAGCCTTTTTGGTGGCAATATAAAACCATTTTCTTTTTGAAACTACAGAAACTACACATTCTCCATCGATCTGGAGAACCATTTCAGCTTGCAAAGAACCATTTCGTGCTTAAGTGGTTCTTTGCATGGTAAAATGGTACTTCAGATTGACGGAGCATGTGTTGAAAATGGTTATATATAGCACCAAGCATGCACATGGTTCTTTGAGTGTTCATGGTTCCATATAGAACTATTATCTTTACTAAAGGACCCTTGAAGAACCATCTTTTTTTAAGAGTGTAGTAAACAAATGATGGATCACCTTCGTCACACAGATGTCTACAGTTATGTTGAGTTGTTAAGTAATGTCAAATATACTCGCATATGTGAAATTTACGACATTGTTATCTATGCAAGTGGACTAAAATTCATCAGCTAGCCTAAAGCCTGGATTTTGTCCACACTTTACTACAGCCAGGCTGTTCCTTTGTGTATGAGCATGAATAAAACTGTTCTAATAAAACAATTATTTTGTCATGAGTGGATATCTGCAGAAAATATGTTGTAGATATTCAGAAATGCATTTTTCATTTTAAATTAGCTTTGTTGAAAAAATATGTCTTTTTTATGACACGTTTTTGCTGAAGGAAATGTCAGAAACATTAACCACTATCTGGGTAGATGTTTAGTCAGAGATGTTTTTGAGCAGAGCAGTGAGCTGTGCATGTCATGATGTCATGATGAATGCTGACTCTGTGCTAGTGATGCTATGACCTGAGGTTTTTGTGGTCTAGCTAGACCAGTGCCTTATACAGATTAAATGGATAGCGGTCAGCAATGCACTTTATTCTGTAGTCGAGCAGAACAGACCAGAAAACATGCAGTGACTCGGTCAGAACACAAGGGGGCAGTGATGACCACAATTTCATTTCCGTCCAACTTATAAACGCTTCATATTATAGACTTATTATCTTGAAATTATGCTTTTTTTCATTATATTGACCTAGTATCTGGAAAAAAGACTTAATTTCTCAAAATAATGACTTATTTTCACTAAATACTGACTGATTATATCGAAATAATGACATTTTCTCAAAACATAAAATTAGTGTCTCAGAATGATGACTTATCTTCTCACAACATTGACTTACTGTCTCGAAATAATGACATTTCTCAAAATGGTGATCTTAGTATTTGTCGGTGATTTTGAGTTAGTATGAAATTGCATACTATGTTGAAATAATCAGTTGTTAAATTTTTAGAAAGTAATATGTAAATAAGTCATTTCGAGACATCAGGTCAAGATGCCTCGAAGGTACAGAAGATAAATCTGGTGAATAATAAATACGGTTGTCTTTAAAGACGCCAGACTGACAACAGGTGAGATTTTAGCTTTGTAAGACGGTCTGTAAACCTAGAATGCACAGCTCTCTCTAACAGGTCTGTGTAAATGCAGCTTTGAGAATGAGACTCGAGCGCTGATGGAGTTAAAACCATAAGCTAAGCCTGCCGCCCACGTTCTCCAGCCTCATGTTAATAAGCTGTTGGCGACCTAAATGACTTGTTTCCTGTCACAGGCTAATCGTTTTCTGGGCTCTTCCTGCGCGCAGGCTTCAGGTTCTTCATTCGAGAAATTCTCGCAGCTGATCATGAAACACGGTTCATACTTGAAATGCAGTTTTTAATTCAAGCAGTAAAGAGGTCAAAAAAGCCCAACGGTACAGGAAATGGCTTCTACCCTACCGCGTGCAGGTAGCAAGCCAACAGCGTAAACCTGAAACACAAGATTCAACCTGTGAGCGCGCTGCGTGTGCCCGACTGACTGAGGGACTGATAGAAAGTTCGATTCAATTCGCCGAACCGATTCTTTTGAACTGTGCGTTTTAATGTCCGATTCAACGATTCAGTTTTGACCTCTACGCTAACCGGCTTTCGTGATTTTATTTTCACTGAACATTTTTTGTGTTCAGAAGAAAAAAGTTCGATTTGTGATATTAGCCCAAAATAAACATGACAACATAGCGAAAATAGACGTAAGAGAAGTTTTAAAAATGGGCTTTAGTTAAGAGCTAAAAAAACAACAGAGAGGTTTCTAAAAGTATTACAGATCACCGAAATTTTCGTCAGATGTTAAAGGGCAATTCCACGGAATAGTCTAAATTTTGCCTAATCAAATCCATAAGATTTAATTCAGAGAGGTTCGATGTGAAATTCTCCATTAATAACCGTACCGAACCAGAGCTGTTCGCGGTGGTGGTGATGTGAACCTACGGAGCCCTTATGGTGACGTGGTGATTATTTTTATTAAGGCGTGTCTACGAATTAATATACTGAGGCCACGAGTTAATTTGATCATAACTCGTGGCTTCAATATATTAATTTGTGAGGGCCATATAAAAAAAATCTCAGTAAATCCGTGGGCCAGAGGCTGCCTATGTTTTTATTTCATTTTTAATTGACATTTTGCTAAAACCTACTTACTTACTAAACAGCTGGTGTCGATTCTTTGCTGCAAATTCATTAATTCTTGGGATCCGTTTCTGAGCTGCTGAGTGTTTATAGTGTTTATGTTGGTGTTTGGTGATATGACTGGTGTAGAATCGAGGTGTAACCGCTGTCCCATAGATTGTTGTTGGGAGGGGGTGGGAGCGCACGTTTTGTTGCAGTGCATGCTGGGGATTGTAGTTCAGCGCATTGTGAAACAGGCGAATATTAATCGAAAATTAAAATAATTTCGCGGGCCGGACAGGATTGTGTCACGGGCCTAATCGGGCCAGGGTACCTTGTATTTAACGTATGAGCCTCAGGGGCTCTGAAGGAACCAGACATGTGAAGTGTTTATTTTCTCTTAAATCTCCGTCATAGAAAGTTCCTATAACCCACTGATGTCTGAGAAATTGTTTTGCGATAATATTTTAGTCTAAAACACATTTTAAAACACGGAGTCGTACATGCAGGGCGTTGTAAGATCCCAAAAGAACAGATTTACCACTATTTTACGGCTATTAACATTATATATGTATGCTCAGGATACACTTGTAGGTTCATTAGTCATTTTGGATAGTAAATAAAATGGCTATATTTGTGTTGCAGATCATGGCCCCTGGCTCCTATCACCACCACTGTGAAAAAATCCGAGTTGAAAAGTTTCTGAATGACTTTCAATGTAAAATCTTAACTACTGAATTAGGCTGCAGGCTTTAAAAAATATACTGACTACAGAGCCTAAACAAAACGGAAGATATCTCAGAAAACATCTTATTAAGACCATGTTTGTTACTGTGTATACATGTATAGGGCTCACAAATACATTCCTAAAAAGATGGTTTTTCAAGGGTTGTTTACTAAAGGTAATAGTTCTATAAGAACCATGAGTTCTATATACAACCATTTTATGCTTTGCATGGTGAAATTGTTCTTCAGATGGGGAATGTGTTGAAAATGGTTCTATATAGCACTAAAAACGGTTCTACTACTGTTACAATGTCAGGTTGTTATGCAGTAGAAGAGCCCTCTCTGGTGCTATATAGAATCATTTTCAAATATGTAATCATATTTAACACATTCTTCATCAATCTGAAGAAACATTTCAGCATGCGAAGGACAATTTAAGCATGTTCCATATTGCTCTGAATAGAACCATACTTTACTAAAGAACCCTTGAAAAACAACCTTAATCTTTGAGGGTGGGTATCTTACCGGTTATCTGTGTACTTTAATTAAAGTAGCATTCTGTTGTACTTCACTGCACTCGACTCCTAAAAGAATCATTCGAACAGAGCGATTCGTTGGTGAATCGAACACCACCATGATGCACTGCGCCTCCTCCCTCCAGCAGCCGCTGCGCCGTATCCGAGCCCGGAGCAGGCTGGGCTGCGGTGGGGTTAAGAGGGGGGCTGGTGCACTGCGCCTTCATCCAGCTGCTGCATCCCGAGCGCAGGGGGGATGGCGGAGCTGCCAGCTCTTCCCTTCACCATACCGACTCGCCCGCTTTCGGAGTTAACAGAGAGACCGCCGGAGCCTCGTTGGTTCTCTTAAGCGAGCGCGAGACGGACCGTTAGGAAATTCAAATCGCGTCTCCCAGCAACAGCCTAACGGCTAACGGTTTTTTCCTCAGCCCCTGCATTCAGACGGGAACGCTGGGTGATGAGAGGATTTTACACCGAGAGCTGAGAAAGGCGCTTTGTGCTCACTTGTAAAATTACACACATTTTAGACATGAAGGGTCGCTTCTGTGTTTTTCCGAGGCTGCTATAACTGTTACTTAGCCGCCGTTAGCTCACTGGAAGCACTCGGGTTCGCTCGTATCGTTTAGCTCACCGTTAACCTTCAAGCTAACGTCAATGACAGCTAGCTAGGTTAGCGCCGTCGCACGGCTCAAGATTTTCGTCGATATTTGTCACCGTTTAAGCATTTTTAGAGGGATGAAAGAAGGAATACGAAAGAAGAAGGGGACGAACGACTCGTTGACATCAACCCGCCGGACGCGTGTGATTCCCGGCTGCTTCAGGTGTGGAGCCGCCGCCAGTTAAGTGAACGTTAGTGATCAGGGATCTCCCTCATTTCTCGCCCCGTTTTCTCCGCCAGCCCCACTCATGAACATGGCTTCTGCAGCCAGCAGCCTCGCCTCGGCCATCGCCAGCAAAACAAAAACGAAGAAAAAGCATTTCGTGTCGCAGAAGGTGAAGCTGTTTCGGGCCAGCGATCCTCTGCTCAGCGTCTTAATGTGGGGAGTGAACCACTCGGTGAGTCCTTCATTTATTTAAAGCGGGTGTTTTAACATGTGACACGCCTGACTCGGTATTGTGAAGGGATGAATGTGAAGTGATATGTGTATCGCTCTGGTTATTAACCCTCTATTGCACGCATTATGAGAGCAATGTTAAACAAATGTTTGCTTCTCTTTTCTTGCATAAGAAGATCTGATGAAATTCAAAACGGCCTTTTGTCGTTCCTGTGTGTTGCCTTGAGGCAACATTGGGCGACATTGGAAGGAAATGATGGAGTGTAATGTGAAAAACAGGGAGTTTTTAAATATAAATATTTAGAATGAGACTGAGTTCATTCTGAATACTTATAGTACTGGACATACTAAGATAAAAAGAAAAAATACTTTATCTTTAAAGAAACCATCCTAACATGATGCAGCTTCGACAAGTTTTGATTTTGCTTTTTTGCACACCAATCGTTTAGACTACAAATATCAGCTGAAACCGTTCTAAAATATAAAAAGAATCAAGTAATTTTTCAGGTAGTCAGAACTGTAACATTAAATATGAATCATGTCATAGTAATGTGAGGAAAATGGGTTTGTTACCCTGAGGCAACATCATGCAATGGTGGGTTAAGAACAAAGCATTCTATATTTAATCCAAGGACACAAATGCTAAACAGTTCTGTATTTGAGAGGCATTATTTTTCTGCATTATGTTTCTATCTGCAAATAAGGCATTTCAAATGATGCTATCCATAAGGTCATTAGGTCAGACCTGCTGGAGTCTGGATTTTACTGTGACAGGTACCTTGCTGCCCTGTAGGATAGATTTCTTGACACAGACACACCTTGAAGGAACGCTGTAAGCCTATGTAAATGCTGCAATAAATCATCCTTTCTTTGTGCTGTCTGGACACCCAGATTTTCCGAGCTACATATAAGGGAATTTTATGATGTTGCCCCTAATACTGTAGTAGCTTTTTTTTGCAAGGCATGGACATTTTCCAGGTGCCTGAAAAGCTTATAATTGGACTCATGGGACTCTGGTAACTGGTGTCTGGGGGCTCAGTGCTCATCCCAGATGAAAAGCTTTTCAGGGTCCGTGGTAGTAAGACATTATTACGAATTAGACTCAGGTTGTGGCTTCTGCAGATGCACAGAGCTGTACAAAATGGGACAGATTTTTAACAGCAGGGATAGGTGATACGTCGTCTGTCCCAGTATACCGTGATTTCGCTTTTGACTTTTAACCATATTTTTAGCAATGAATTTGATAGGTAATGGGCATGACTTCCATAATATATTGCAGATAAAATAGTTGTTTCCCAAACTGCCAAGTCTGTTCTGTTTTGTGCCATTTCCTTATGGTGTCTGGGATCTGAAAGTTAACTCTGATGTATGCCATTTGTATGGTGCTTCAGATTGTTTAAAAGAACAGTTTAAAATCCATAAAATATAAGTAATTAATAGATCTTCTTTCTGGAAATGTGCTTTCTGTCTGGTCGGCATTTACAATACTGTGTAGGGATCTATTTGATGCCATTTTAAGACAAGAAGACAGAACAAAACAGTCTAATCACAAATAAGCTATGTAGGGTTTTGTACGACATCTTTTTAGCTTAGAGCAGTATTAATAGCAGTGTTTGGGATGAATCTGACCTCATTGAGTTCACTAATACTAACTTATTAACTTCTAATGCTAATTTAAATATTGTCTGGCTATAATATATTTGGAAAATATCATGATATTGAACTGTATCGGTATTACGTAGCCCTGTGTAAGCAGTTGCAGTGCTTTTCTCCAAGCTGGACCATAAAAAAGGACACTTGTGAATTTAGCTTTGTAGGCTGTTTCTCCTGCCAGAGGTTGGAAGTGGTATGTGCCTGCTTGTGTTAAAATACCCTATGATGTGAGTATTTTTAAGTGTAAAATGTACTACATGTACAGTGAAACGTGTAAGAAGCAGAAAAGCTCAAAAATGGTGCATTAAAATCACGTATTCCCTAGCATTTCTTTTTTGGACAAAAGAAGTGCCTCTTGTAATTATTTTTGGCCTCTAATGATTACTTAATATAAAATTTCTAACTCCTTCACTTTTAATTAGACAACGATACAGACAGAATATGCTGTGCAATAGCCTAATGACTATGAGAGAGGAAATTACCCAGTGGATGTACAGACTTGCAATACAAATGTATGTAGACAACTGCAAGTACAAAATTTATTTGATGCATTTTGGCATCACATATTGAAATAAATTATATTCAGTCTCTACAATCATTGTTTATGGCTGTTTAAGGTCTAGGCTAAGAGTTAACTTGATTAGCTGTTCAGTATTGTGCAAATAACACCACAAACATATTGGAATAAATATGCAAGCATGCAAATTTTATTGGCAAAAACTGATCATGTTGTCCAGTGATTGCTGGAAACATGTGATTTTGTGATATTTAATGTGATTTTACCAAACAATATCTCCATATGAATCTGTAATTGTAAATGTTGAGTTTTGAATGCTTTCAGGAGTCTGAATAAGTCTTTAAATGGGCTCTTTCACTCTTTTTACTCTTATCTAACTATTTAATTGGCTTATTCTTCAAAATGAAAACTTTCCTTATTGAAGGTTAACCTCTTAAGATCTGTGGTTTATTACATACTAAGGCTTATTATTCAGTAACTACAGGGACGTCAGTGGATACTTATTGAACTATTCTTAGGTTATAGATGTGTGTAATAAACCCGGCATGTAATAAACCCTGGCCATGTAAGGGGTTAATTGCATGGTAGTAGTACATACTTTGCTGTAGCCCTTATTTCGTACTTGTTCACAGAGATGGTGGCTCATTTTAGCTATTTGGTGAATTCCTGATGTACGATGATATCGGGATAATATCAGCACTGGTCGATTAAAATAAAATCGACATTTGATGACATATGTATAGTGCTTCTGAAGAATAGAATGTTTAGGTGATGCTGGGCTGCTGCACTAAGATGTATGTATTTTATAAATTTTACTGCATTTTTAACCCTATAGAAGAGTAACGTATGTTTTTCAGTAATGCTAATCCAGGTGGATCTAGGTCTTCCTTCTACATTTTATAAACATTTATTTATCAGGATCAGACAGTTCCCATACTGGTGTATCCCCACAGTGAATTTCTGTTTAGTCTTCCACAAAAACATACTCTACATGATTTCGTTAAAATGTAATCTTATTATAGGATGAAGTACAAAAACACAAATACTTCAGTGGAAAAGGTGCAGCACTGGCTGGCAGACAACAATGGATAAAAATAGCACAGAGTAGGCCATTTGTGAGGTCAGCCTTGCATGTCCAAGTGATATTGTGATCTGCCTGTCACACTTATCTGAAATGTTCAAGGTTGTCAAGGTTGGGCCAACTTTGCAAAGCTTATTGTAGTACATTATCCAGAGTGAGGCCTGGTCAGTTATTTGCATGTATTATAAACCCACTGACTACTGATTTAAAGCACTCATTGTTTATCTGAAGGGTAGTGAAGGGTAGTGCACATGAGGATTGTCATTCATGTTAATCAGCAGATTTAGCATTTATTAAATGGGGCAGTTGTTCTTTGGTTCCTTCAGTCATGGCAAAGTTTGAACCTGAGTTCCACTAGTATGACCTTTTATTGCACTGCTTTTAAAGACTGGGCCAAAGGGGCCATTTAAGCACTTTCCTTTAGATTATTTTTAGTATCCATAACAACAGCATCAATTTTGTATATGCAGGTTTTATTCCAGTTTTTGACAGTCCTTCTTTGCTGTCCTCAGTAGGAAACTGTCGAAGTTTGGTGCTTCAAGCACTCTGCTGTGCAGTCTTAGTGAAATAATAAGTAATATAAATTGCTCCTGGGTATTTTTCCATCTCTCTGAAACTGCACTGAAGGTCGGTGGGGATGACACAAGTGGGCGTATTGCAGGCACTTTGTTTGTTTACTAACATGAAAAGGCTCCACAGCATCCACTGCTGAGCTCCACTTCACAAGCATTCCCTTTTAGCCGACATCCTTGTCTGAGGGAAATTACTGTTTTTGAAAAGCAGGCTTGATTTCTCGTTGAGAGTGCCAGTTCTCATCTCCTAGAGCTGCTCTCTTGAGTGGGCTTTGAGACCCTCTCACAGCCAGATATCTGCAAGGAGCGGTGGTGTGCTAACCAGGAGAACTGGCTGACTCATCCTCTTTTCAGCCCTGGAGACTGGAGCTGTAGCGACCGCTTACAGTCTGCCACCTCCTAGAACAGAGAGAGCTTCTCTCCTTTACTCTCTACCAGGCAGTCAGGTTTTGTTGAATTTTTAATTAAGACTCCTTTTACAAATCAGAAACGTTGTTGTCTTGCCTTAAATTGTTCATTAATTCTTGTGAGAAGCAACGGTTGTATAACCTTTGTTGGCTGTGGTTTTGTTGTGACTGCACCCTTATTTTGCACAGCTTGATCAGTGCCATGTTTTGACCTGATTAATGCTTTGCTGCTTGCCTCTGGTGTGGGTATTAATTAGGCCATTAGATTCACTCCCTTCTTGATCTGCACCCACTTATTCTTTCTCCTAAGCTGCTCCTTGTGTAGACCTACCCTTTGCTTTTGTTCTTCTGCCTTATTTTGTGCCTGTCCTCTATACACACTGTACAGCTTTTCTTACTCTGTCAATCTTCTCCTCCTGGCCCATCCTCCCCTCTCTCTCCTCTTCTTTTATTCCTCTCTCCCTCCCTCCCACCCTCCCTCCCTCTGCCTGGCTTTCATCCTCTCATTCTTAGTTTGACGCAGAGGAGTCTTTTCAGTGCTGTGATTGCATAAGGGTGTCTGAAGTGTAACCCAAATGGAAATGGATGAAGAAGACCTGGTCCCCACGTGGCAGGACTTTCCCTGCTGGCAGGAATGAGAAATGCTTAATCCAAAGGCAAAAGACTAAATCACATCCCAGAGATATAGTAGCTGGTTTGTATCACGCTGTTAGTTCCCATGGATGCACTCTTGTCCTCTGTCTTTTGTCAGCTGATTGGTCTTTGCAGAAT